GAGAAGTGCGTGAAGATTCTGAGGAAGTGCAGGACGGCGGTGACCGGGGAAGGGAAAGATGGGCAGGTGATAATCATAGACATGGTGCTTGGGAACCAGAGTTTGGATGAGAAGTTGCGGGGAGTACAGTATGCATTCGACATGGAAATGATGGTTTCCTTAACTGGCAAAGAGAGGAGCGAGGAAGAGTTTGCGAAGCTCTTCTTTGATGCTGGATTCAGCAGCTACCATATCAACCCGATTCTTGGAACGCGAGCTCTCATTCAGGTCTATCCTTGAAGTGAATGTGCACAAATACTTGGAGTGTGTTGAGTAAATCACCAATGTAAATCTTTGACGTTGGTCAACAAAAAGGACGAAATCCAAGCTGAATTGTTAGAGGTTGAGTAGGTTTACTTGAACAACCAAAAGATCGACTACTTATTGTTCCAATCGGTCTTCATCTACCATATAAAATACAAAACTATGAATTTCATCTGGTACTGTGTGCATCATTTCTTGAAACCAGGAAACGTACTAATGATAGAGTACTATTATAAGTCACACAAAGCATATCACATATTATTGTTGTATTGGTGGTCGACCGAAATTGTCCATCAAACTCCAGATAATTTTACTTGGAGTTTTGGCCAAATTACTATAGGCACATAACTTGTTTTGCCTATACAACAAATACCATACCAACAATACAATGGAAAGAACTTTTGTATGTTAGTATACACTAAGCTCATTAGTACGAGAACTTTTGAAGAGTATACATAAAAGTAAATCTGTGCGGGCTTAACCTAAAGCGGACAATATTATAGTAATTGAGCGGCCCGATTACGATAGTAAATCCTCCAATAATAATTTGAAACTTGAAAGATAGCTGAAAATGATGTGATAGAGTCCAATGACAAAAATTATCTAAAATTTTACCGTTGACATTAGTTTATCATGGATTTGGGCTCTCTATTTTTGTTTGGCACATTATTATTCATGCTTTTATATTAAAAAATGGGACAATGGACAGGGTTAGCACTTAGCAGGAGTAGAGATTGCAAGTTGCTAGCAATTAATGTCCAAAGGGAAGTTCAAAATTGGAAAGATAAGGTTTTATTAGGAAAAAAGGATTATATCTCAAACAACTCTCGATAGTTATGGCTGTTGTTGTCATCCTTTGACGAATCTAGCGGTCTCGTAATTGGGTTGTCTTTGAAGACAAACAGTTTGCGATCCAGGCGCTCATGCGACAATTTAACCAACAATATGAGGAATGAGTGGGCTTGCCAACGGATCAGGCCCCTAGGTTGGAGTGTCCGTTGGTTCAGCCAATAACTCAAGTGAGTGATTCACAATTGATTTGTATGTGGGATGGGGCCACTAAGAGTGGGTCGCATTCGGCTGGTGGGATGGTTATTCTAACCCCAGAGCAGACGCTACTTATGGCAAAGGAAGTTTAGTTTCCTCACATGGATGAGCCTGCAGTGGTGGAATTGCTTGTGCTTCGGGAGGCTACTATTTGGTGTTTGGAGTGTGACTTGTCGGCGGTCCGGTTCAAGGGCGATGCCAAGGTGATTATTGATAAACTTAATCAAGCCGACACAAGGGATAACCGGTTGGGTGTTGTCCTGTAAGAGATAGGTCATTTATTTTCGCGCCCAGCCTGAGTTTAGAGTGTGATTTATAGGTCGGGGGAACAATAGAGTAGCTCATTCGGTAACTAGAAAAGTCCTCTCTTTATATCCGACTATGTGTCGCTTCTTTGATTTCTGAGCCTGTCTAATTTCCAGGATGTAACTATTTATTTCTTTGTGATAAAAAACAAACAAATAAAAAATATCTCAAACAACTCTCGGATCCAGTAAAGAAGATCTTGTTTGGCTGTTGAACGCCTCCAAACAAGAGAGTGTCTTTTATTGTCGGTTTGTTCTCCCTATTAGGAATATTATATTAGGCAACCGATTAGGTCACGAAATCCAATTATTGGCTACGTCATTTTATAAAGCATCGACATCTTTATTAGCTTTGGTGTATGAATAGCACTAGATGTTTAATGGTTCAATCATTGATGTACTTATAATGAATATCACTCAAGGTTGTCAAACCGGTTTATACCGTTGTGCCGGTTTGGCAGGTGGAATGGTACGATCGGTGGTATAACCAGTTTGTGCCGGTTCATGCCGGTTTAAAAAAATGTGAAAACAATTAATATCTAATGTATTTAATCATATATAAAACATATTTGTGGACAATTTAGTTACAATCCAACAAATATCATCAACTTTTAGCTATTACATTCATAAAATGAATAATAAATTAATTTTTTTATTCACTAAGTTCATTAAAATGATGTCATTTTACTTAAAATGCGTAAGTCGATCATACCGGTCATACCGGTGGTGTCATGCCGGTTTCATGACCGGCACAGGTTGAACCAGGTTCAACCGGGTGGCATGCCACCGGCATGACAACCATGATATCACTCCAAATAATGAAATAATCTGACGTATTATCAAACATTACTTCTATGTTAAACCATAGTAATATGAGCACTTCTACTATGCTATAAAACATTGATGCTTTAATATATAACTTAAAGTTGTACCATAACGTTAAATGTATAAGTTGATGTTGTACCATAAAAGAATTTGTATTCTTATGTTATGATACAACTTTACAAGTCCAAATTGTACCGTCACATAAAGGTACAAATTCAAGTTGTACCATAAAAGAATTTGTACAAAGAGTATAGGTACAATATGAAGTTGTACAATAATGTTAAAGGTATAAGTATAACTTTAAGTTGTACCATAAAAGCAAATTGTCCTCGCCAATAAACTAGATTCCTCATATACCCAAAGATTGTTACTTAATCCTTGAAATGCCCGAGTTTGACCTAAAACGCTCCCACTGCCACTAGCATTGTTTTGTGAATAAATCGCTGCAAAGGGAAGCGTTTACCTAAAAACGCTAACACCCTAAGCATTTCATATACAAGTTGCAGAATTTTCTGAAATTCCTCCATATGGATTCCGCAGGGAGAAATGGCTGTCAAACTATGGTTCCATTTTTTTGTCAAAGAAGTAACAAATTGTAAAGAACACACCATGCATAAAAAAGCATCAACCATAGAGTTTTGTGAAAATGCTTTCATCCATTGTGTTTTCACTGTTTTGTACATAAAATATAAAACACTTAGGCCCTGTTTAGTATCGATTTGTTGCTGTTGTGGTTGCAGTGGTGTTGTGTAAACATATGTACAACCACAACAGGAAAAAAACAGAAAACGCAAACCTGTTTAGTTGATAATCTGAAAAATAATGAAAGCAGACAACAAAAAACAAAAACATGTTCAGTTACTACTATTAGAACTAAAAACCAAAAAAGAGAGGAGAGGGGGGGGGGGGGAAGGGGAAGGATTCGAAGTAGCCGGCGGGGAATCGAGAGGAGGTGGTGGGTGGAAAGGGAGGTGATGGGAATCGAGAGGAGGCGGCGGCAGGGGGGAAAGGCAGGAGGTGGGGGGAAATGATTCAAAGTCGGCGGCGGGGGAAAAGGAGGAGACGGGAATCGAGAGGAGGAGGCGGCAGGGGTTGCGAGGTCGGGCAACATGGAAAAGGGAGGCGGCGGGGGCAAAGGGACGAAATTGGCGGCGAGGGGGAAATGGACGATATCGACGGCCTGGGTCTCGAGAGGAAGAAGTTGAGAGAGGGAGGGAGCTGTTGGGCGGCCGGTTTGGGGGGAAACGAGGGTAGGGTTGGCCGACTAGGGTTTGGAGGTGGGATTGGGAATTAAAAAAAAAAGAGAATTTTTTTGCTTTAGGTGGGATTCGAATTGAGGGTTGTTTTAATGAAAACAAACGGGAAACCCGTGTAAAACATGTACAAGAATCAAATCCAAAGCAATAAATTGTTGTTTCTAAAATTTGGGCTCTGTTGTGCAAATCTGATTCACAACAAAAAATAGAAACCCAACTAAACATGTTTTTTTTTCTTGGTTTCTCCAATCTTGAAAAACACAACAGAAAACAAAAACAGACAACAATACTAAACGGGGCACTGTATAAGCGTTTTAAAAATAGGCGCTTCCCTCTGTAGCGTTGAATGTAAAACGCTTTGGGAATGAGCGTTTTTATACAAAACACTTCTACCCACAGGCTACAACGTTTTAAGCCAAAGTTGGGTACTTCAGGAAATAAAACATAGTCTTTGCTATTTGAGCAAGGTTATCAACCCGCGGGTTGACCCGGACCCGGTCGACCTAGTGGGTCAAGGGTTAACGCACTACAAAAAAGAGGAGCTTTGGAGACTACAAAAGTCGTCCCCGGAAATAGACAAAATCGTCCCCATAGTTTTTGGGGACAACTTAGTCGTCCCTAATGTTTTGTCCCTTATACACTTGTCCTCTATTCTTTTGGGGACGACAAAATGTAGGTCGTCCCCAATATTAGGGACGACACTCGTCCCCAATACTTAGAAGTTGTCGTTTTTATTTTGTCCATTAAAGACAATACGTCGTCCCTATAGCCATGATTTTGGCGACAATAAATCGTCCCCTAAACATTGTTTCTAGGGATAAAATGTTGTCCCCTTTTCTTTTTATAGGAATTACAATTGCCTTGATTATTATTTTGTGAAGATAAAATGTCGTCCCCTATAATTATTGTTTCTAGGGATAAAATATTGTCCCCTTTTCTTTTCACCTATGCGAATTTTTAGGAACAACAATCGTCATAATTTTTAGCTAAATTTTATATGCAAGCCAAATTGGTTTTCTCCACAATTTATTTATTATTTTGTGAATATATATAGATAAACGGAAGTTCCTTACTCCGTGTGATCTTCACATATATTATTTTGTATATATAGATACACGGAAGATCATATGTATTATTCTATACAGATAATAAAACATAAAAAGAAAAATTACAACTTTTGGAAGAAATAGAATAGAATGGCAATTGCCCTGCCCTGCCCTGCCCTGCGTTCTTGGTATGTACAGATTGGCGCAGTCGATCGTACTTCTTTTTCGTCCCAAATTATCATCAACACTTATCCAAAAAAACAAAATCATCAACAACAAGTTGTTCAATTCGATCCATTTAGTAAGCTTAAGAGTTAGTCCGACCTTGGTCATCTGAAGCATGCCTCATGGCATTGCAGTTTCGGAGCTCTTCCCAAGATGGCGAGGAAGTAGAAGTTGATGATGATTATGACTTCTGTGTCCTGCAAGATTTGCTAACACGTAAAATGCTAAGATAAAAAGGGTTCAGAGCAGTGAGCACAATAGATAGTAAGCAAAAGTAGAGAAAAGAAACCTTGAAGAGGTGCATAGGCTGCCGTAAGGACAGCACAAGTGAAGAAGAAAAAGAAGAGAAGGCAGAGGGAATGGTAGGGTTTAGTATTAGAAGCTCTGCACTATTCCCAGAACTAATATAAGGCAAAAAAATTGGAATTACCTTTAGGAATGTCCCCAAAAAGAGTTTCCCATTATGCAGAGATAGTTTCCCATTATCTCCGGGATAATCCAAAATCTTTGGTGTAACTTTGAAACTTCCCGCTCCGCAAATTGATTTTAGAATCAAAGGAATCAACCGTAAAAAAAATAATTACGCAATCTTTTATTGTGATAATGGAAATCCACCATAATCTTCTATTTCTCTCAAACCATTTCTTTTGGGGACGAACAATGAAATTTTAAATTTAATTTAATATTGTTTAATTATTATATGGGGACAATTTTACACCGTTGTCTCTTATCTCACTTAAAATTATATTTCTTGAGACAAATTACATAGTCGTCCTCTTATGATTGTCCCCAATCCTTCCTAATTTTGTAGTGACGGGTCACCTGTTTCATCCCGTTTTATCCCGGAAATATGAAAATAGTCATTATATTGTACTTATCCTAATAAATTATATCAAATTTCATCTAACATATGAGTAATAACATATAACATTACATCAAAGTAACATATCGTACTTAGATCCAACATATAGTGAAAATTTACACACTTATATAACATGTATATTCAAATGTTCAACTAAGGATTCCAAAGATTGAGTTAGGAGAAAAGAAAAATGGGAAAACATGGGTATTTCGCAAACCAAAGAAAAAAAATGACACAATTTGACCTCCAACCCGATACCTTGTAGCGGTCGACACGACGAGTGCGTGCGGCCCGTTTTTCTCACCAGGTCAGGCTCGAAATTGGTTGACCCGCGGATTGATAACCTTGTATTTAAGGAATTTAATTTAGTAACTAGGTTAATCCGGGGGAAAATCCAGATTTTAGTGTATTATTATGATGGTACATGCTTATATACTACTATAATACCAAATTTCTTTTTAGGAAAGGTCTCATCACATTATTCTGGGGAAAGAAGAAAAGAGAACAACAGATCAATCCAAATTGGGATAAAGGTAAAAACTACAAAAGATCTCCCAACTCAATCTCATCTCTATACATATTCGACCACAACTTCTTTGGAAATATACTTATACCACCTTAGTTCATTTAAGAATCTCACGACTTTGTCAATCGATAATTCTAACGCACGCTTAATAAATATCGTACGAAGTCGTGGGGCAGTGACCAGAACAAATCTCACAAGATCCAGCTCGACTTGTGTTGCGAGGCTATCCTGAATGTGAACCTCTTCAAGATGTTGAAGGCAACCAAGTCCAGATTGTTCCTCCTCAGCTCCTAACAGCATCTGTAGGCTATCAATATCATCTGAAGGTGGATGATGCGCATTATTAGCAACTATCTACAAAAAAAAAAAAAAAGCATTTATCAAAACCCAAGTCAAAAGGCTAAAAGACCTAATAACATGTACATATATATATATTTTTTGTTTGATAATGGCACACAGGTACATATATAATTATATACACCCATGTGTGATACAAAAGAGAAGTTAACAAGTAAAAACCAACCCGAATGGTGAGCTTTTGCAAGTTGGGGGAACTCGTGATCAGACGCAGAAGAAACCGAGCATGTGACAAGCTCTCCAAACTAAGGCGAGATAGTTCGACGACTTTCAGTACGCAAAGAGTTGTAGGAACCTTATAGGGGTCATTACTCTCAGCCGGGAACTACACGCAGAAAGCAAACAAATAGAGACAATAAGCGAGTTTAGGGTTTAGAGTTCAGGGTATAGTAATACAGAAACCAGATGCACATTCTGAAAGTGCGCGGTAACGCAGGATGAAGAAGAAATATATATATATACGGAAACACGAATTAAAACTTACTAGCAGCGAATTGAGCCCAAAAGTCAGCTGCTTGAGCGCAGAGAGAGAAGCAAACAGAGCAAGCAAAGATGTGTTTTCATATTCGTAATCGCAACCATCTGGAAGTGATAGCACCGAGAGCAGCGGGGCAGGATTGAGGCGAAATTCCGAAGCGAGCGAGCGAAAGACAACCAATTTGAGAGACGGCGTTAGAAGCACAAGCTTCTGCTTGCTGCAGTTTACAACCCTCAACTCCTCGAGCAAGGTGCACTCCAGCAGCAGATTCCGAAGGAAATATTTAGGCATGACGACATCCTCGAGTTCGAGAACGGCAAGCTTACGAAGTCCCACGAAACAAGACGGTGCAGTACTGAAACTGCAATTCTTCAGTTTCAGAACAGTCAGGTGATGGCAGGAAGTAAACAGGGAGGAGGAATCGAGATTGGCCTTGGCCTGATGGACAGAAAACAGAAGGGCAACCTCCCGGACAATTTTGCTTGGAAGGCAAGGAATCAACTCGTCGTCGATTTTCGGACAGCCACCCATTAATCCAGGGATATCGAGCTCGAACTTGGTGATTGAGCCGTCATGAAGCAGCACGGCTCGGTGAATGTTCGCCGCTACCTTTTCGCTATCGTCCGGTAAATAATGAGGCGGAGCGAAGTTACGATCGAAGACGAGTTGAGGAATGCTTCTCCAATGGTGCCTCCAGTTTCTTGACAGGATGCTGGTTCTCGCTGCGTCTTTAATGGGTAGCAGCGTCAGAATGTGCTCTGTTATCACGTTGGTCGGAACGTCGCTAAACCTATCGTCACCGGTCGACTCGCACAGCTCCATTGTCGCTGGCAATCACAAACAAAGAGATCAAGAATCCATGCAAGAACCCTAATAATATTGTTCCTTTCTTTTTTGTACGCTAAAAGCTAACCCACTATGCATATATATAAGAAGAAGCTAACTCCTACGGGGAAGCTAACTCTAAGTTCAAATAACTCACTTTTTCAATATGCATGTGGTGTTTGTGTGCTATTTGAGAAAATTGGGAATTAAATTATCTTGTTTTTATGAACCAAGATAATGAGTTGTTTTATATGTAGTATTTGATAACGTATGAATAAAATACCATGACGCACTCAACTTGGGGGTCGTTTGGATCTAAAATTGTGATATGAGGGATTTGGGGCCCAATTTCCTCGTTATAAAACACGTGTATTTAAAATGAAAGACTTTAGCAATTTATCCGTTTGTTTATGGGCCCATGATTTCTTAGGAACCCTTTCTTAGGCAGCAATTTAACTTTTTATGGCAGATGCAAAAATACAACTCTGCCCTCTGCTCTTATTCGTAGACAACAACCCCTATCTTCTTCCCTACCCCATCTTTCCATATTTTCTTCTACCTTCCCACTGTTGCTCCTCTCAATGTTGCTGCCTCTGTCAATCGAATCTCTCTTGCTATTTCCTCCTTTCACCCCTCAATCTTAATGCTAATTCCGTCAAACCCATACCTGAAACCTATTGCATGTTGATTTGCAAGCCTCCAAGAACCCCAAACCAAAACCCAAATCGATTCCTTCTCTCGCCGAAGCTTGCCGCATGCCTCGAAGAACCCTTTCGCCGGCTGGAAGTAGACGAATCTTTGGAGGTAGACGAATTTGACGCTGATGGCAATTGGCAACGACGAAGACAAGATGATAGTGGATCTAGGCTCTTGTGAACCCAGATCCCCCGGAAGAAAGGAAGAACCAGAGCTCCTTAGAAGAACCCAGAACTGAAAATTATATTTGTCTTCTCTTGCGTCCTCCGGCGACCTCGTGAGACGCGAGCCTCCCGCTTCCTCGCTAGTCTCCATCGTGGGCGCGCGGTCGCAGATCTGAATTCGGGTTCCAAATATGAATTCTTCACTGACCGGTGCAGGGGGGAAAACAGAGTGCGGCGGAGGAAGAAAAGAAAGGAGATGGCGGTTTCTGGGCTCCCCAATTCAAAAAACAGAGCTTTGCGATGACGGTTCCCAATTGCTCGATAGTGGCTCTCCGACCTTCCTATATGCAATTTGCCGCCTGTCTCTACTCTCTAGAGACCCCAGATCTCTGTCTCTCTATGATTCACTCTCAGTTCCGACCTTCTTCTCTATGGCTGGATGAGGGAGTGCGAGCAATCAACGGCGTTGATTAGGATGGGGTCGGAGGAATTGAGGGTTTGGATTGTAATCAACTGTGGAGGGACTCTTGCTCCCAGTCGATACGCCGTCGTCGAGCCCCTGGCTACCGGTCGAGAAGTCGTCGGAGGGATTATTGCGGCCAGTCGTGAAGTCGTCGTTTTTGCTGGTGGGAGGCCGGAAAGAAAGATGTGAAGACAGAGGGGTTAACGAAAACAGAGGCAAGGACACGCTGGGAAAAAAGAAATAATTAGGACAGATTTTAAAATACCTGGGGGGTGGCAGCTAATTCCAATTCCGGATTGGGCCGGATTTGAAAATTTCTGAGGCCCAAATCTCTGTTGTTTTAAGTGCTATCCAAACAAGGATATTGGTTAAATTCCTGGATGGACTGGGATTTGGGCTAAATCCCTGCCCAATTTTCCTAATCCAAACGACCCCTTAATGTCCTCTCAAAAAAACCTCATGCATGCTTTCAATACTTCTACCATTTGCAGACTTCTAATTTTTGGTGGGAGTTGCTTCATTCATCCAATATTCCAATTAACACTAAAACGAGGGAAATCAAAGATGTGAATCAAAGTAATGTACGTTAAGAAAAAGTGACAACTACTCCATAATTTAAAGCAAAGATGTTGCAATTACAACATTCCATAAACTTAATGTAGCAAGATTAAAAAGGAAATCATGCATGTTCTGAACGTTACGACATTAATCATTTTACAACAGCTATCTCATGCTAATTACTCGATCTGCACAATACTCTCTCTAAGTCTCCACCAGTTTCATCAGCAGCAGCACAACTTGAGGCCTTCAAATCTTGCTTTTAAGGTTGTAAAAGAGGATAAATGTGGGTTACGTTTAGCCCATCTTAAAGTGGGTTGGGCGGATGTTGTAGGCTGGTATGATAGCCCCTCTAAGGCTGTACTCAAGCAGTATTAAGTTATCAAACTGGTTTAACAAGTGGTTTGACCTTTAATAGTTGGATCAGGTTTAACTAATTTTAGTCGTTTTTAGGATAGTATACTAGAAATCTCTACTACCAAATAGATTATGCATATATTTGACATATTTTAAAACAATCTCATTGATCTATATTCATATATTACCAAAAAAAAAAAATATATTACAAAATTAACAATACTCGTCTTCAAACCTGTGTTATATTTTTAAGTTGCTATCATTGAATATAAAATAATTTAACATAGATATCAATACATGATCAACTCAATCCAACACAAGCACACAAAAATATCATTCTACCATCAATTTTGATTAAAGAACAGACAAGTATAAGATACCTAACAATAATGACTTAACTCATAGATAAACCCCGCAAATTACATGCAAGCTTAAATATTACAGATTGTTGTCGAGCTACTATGCCCATGTCTAACTTTCTATTGTGCTTCTTCTAAATCCCTTCTCCACACAGGCTAGCCCTCCTCGCTTGCACGCCTTGTGGCAAACTAGACTGAAAATTTTGTATATAAATATAAATAAGAGTCACGCTCTTTAAAATTATTCTCATTTGAATCTAAGTTACTATCACAACTAGCTAGCCAGCTAGGGAGGTCAGGGGTCTTGTAGGCCTTCAAACATTCCATTATTTTCTCCTATGACTGTCAGTGACTCATCGATGCCTATTATTGTCGGTCCTAACTACGAGGAAGCTCATAATAAGTTATTGGCTAATCATTTAACCATTGGTTACTAATTGTTTAACAATCGATTAGTAATTAGCTAACTTTGGCTACTGGGAATCCACGGGTTAATCGATTATCGATGTAATCGTTAACCATCGATTCTGGTTCGATTATCGGTTACACCACTAACATGATAACCGTTTACCAGCCCTACTATTTAGGGCGACAAATGAGCAGAGTCGAGCTGAGTTTTTACCTATTTTCGGCGCGGTTTGTTAATAAACGACTCGAGCTCATCTTGGTTACTAAACCTCGGCTTGTGTTTGATTCTATCTCGGCTCATCAATGTGCTCACGAGCTCCACTCGAGCTTGGGTCATCAATTTGACTCAGGAGATCGGCTCGAGATAAGCCATCATATCATTAGTTCATAAATTTTAATTGTTTATATCATTTTATTTCAAATTTATTAGTATATGAGCAATTTATAATTCATAATTTCTCTTTTAAATATAAATTAGACATATTTAACTACGAGCTCAAATTTTAAACATCATAGATGATGAGATATATAATCTAGTGAACCAATGAATTATCAACAAGTCAATGATAAGTAATAACCGATTCGCTAATAAATTGCTTGTTGGGGTGGCTTGCTAGTCATACTGTCGAGCCAACTCATAGCTCAAAACGAGCTAGCTCGCAAGTTGAGCTCCACAAACCACTGAGTCAAACTAGCTCGCAAACCTTGCAAGCCGAACAATATATGCTTAGCTCAACCTAACGAGCCGATTGTCGAACGAGTTTTTTCAAGTCGAATGACAAGCCCCTCGTAAGCAATTTGGCTTATTTGCAACCCTACCCTTCATCACGCACTCAATACCCAATCCAATCACAAGTACATATGAAGAGTGCGTGGGTAATTTTATCTATAAAGTGAGCTACGGTCTAATATGACACTAATAATAATGCAGAGAAAACAGCGACACCCAAATTGTAGAATATTGTTCACCTCAATGTGCTGAATAAATCAATCCAGATTTACATAATTCATGTTCCCAAAAAAAAAAAAATACTGAAACTTCTCAAATTGGACTGTTCTACAACACTTCAAAACTACTACATTCTCACCGGGATCAAACACCCTCACATCATGCAGGGAAAAGAAGAAACGAGAACAAAAGAATCAAGCACCAACGAAGTGTCTCAACTCAACCTCATATTTTCCTAGACATATTTGACCTCTGCGTCTTTGGAAATACGCTTATACGATACCAGCTCATTCAAGAATCCCAGAACCTTATCAGCTGACAAGCTAACTGCACGCTTAATCGAGATCATACGAAGTTGTGGGGCAGTGGCCAGAACAAACCGCACCAGGTCCAGCTCGACTTGCCTACCTTGGCTATCCTGAACGTTGAACTCTTCAAGATGTTGAAGGCAACAAATTCCATGTCGTTCCTCTGCTTCCAACAGCTCCTGTAGGCTACCCATTACCTCTGAAGACGGCTGGGCATTATTAGTACCCAACTAAAAGAAAGATTTGTCAAGGGAAAAAAAACAAGTCAAAGGCTGAAGAGTTGACAGGTATACCCACATATATATAATATTACAACAAAAGTGTAGAAACCAACCCGAATGCTGAGCTTTTGTAAGTTGGGGGAACTCATGATCAGACAAATAAGAACCTGTGCCTGTGGCAAGTTATCCAAAAGAAGGCGAGATACTTCAAGAACTTTTAACTGGTAGAGGATTGTTGGCAGTTTGTAGGGGACATTACCCTCTGCAGAGAACTGCAGAAAGCAAACAAATAGAGGAAATGAATTAGTACAAAAAAACCAGCTGCTTCCTTGAAGTGGTAACACATGATGAGTAAGTATAGAAACGAATTAAACTTACTTTCAGCGAATGAATTGCAAAAGTCAGCTGCCTGAGCTCAGGGAGAGAAGCAAACAGTGCTAACCAATTCTTAGACGTCCAACCATCTGTCAGTGATAGCACTGAAAGCACTGGAGCATGCTGGATCGTAATGTTGCAACCGGAACCACTCGACTTAATGAAAAGCACTTTGAGAGAAGGCACATTAAGTTTATATTCTTGCCTGCTACAGTATAAAACCCTCAACTCTTGGAGCAGGGGGCACTCCGGCTGTAACTTCTGCAGGAAATCTTCAGGCATGATAACATGTTCAAGCTCAAGAACGACCAGCTTACGAAATCCCACAAAAGAAGATGGTGCACCAACACTACAATGCTGCAGTTTCAAAACAGTCAGGTGACTGCAGGCGGTGAACAGGGAGGAAGGCAGCTTGGTCTGACCCTTGGAAAACCGAAGAGCAAGTTCATGGACACCTTTGCTTCCAACGTGAGGAATCAACTTACAAATACGTGGACAGTCTTCTCTGAATCCAGGAATTGAGAGCTCAAACTTGGTTACTGGACCATCATGAAGCAGCAGAGCTTCGTAAATGTCCATCATGACCTTTTTCTCATCCAGTAAATAGGGTTCCGTACTGGGGAGTGGTGGAGCAAAACTACCGTCGAACACAAGTTGAGGAATACTTCTCCAATGATGCCTCCAGTTTCTTGACAGGATGCTGGTTCTCGCTGCATCTTTTATGGGCAACAGCGTCAGAATTTGCTCTATCGCATTGGCTGGAACGTTGCTAATCCTATCAACAGTCGACTCGCCCAGCTCCATTGTCGTTGGCTTTATAGTACACAAAACCACAAACAAGTGATCGATGCTCTACTCTGCTTCACAACAAAGAGAGAACGAAGTCTTTTCTCTCCCTCTCACTGAAGGAGAAGAAACAGAGGGAAACTTTGATGGAGACACACCAAAACCCTAAATAACCCACCAATCTTTCTTTCTTTATATACCCTAAGGAAAACCCTTGTCGAGAAAGATGACGCTTACACCGTAACACGCCACTTTCGCAGTAAAAAACGGAATCAATGACCGGAATAAAAGGGAATAAAAAAAGGAAGAGAGTACCCCCATCAATACGCAAAGGCACTTGTGACCACCGTCACATCTAACGACTGAGAATACGCCAATGCTCCCATCCAAAGGCTTTATGTGTCTCCCCCGTCGAGTAACAAAAATGTCACCGTCTCATCTGATGGATGAGAATGCATGAAACGCCATCCGGCGGTTCAGTGGGTATCTGCCTGGCCGGCACAGAGAAGGGTACCCCTATGCACAGCCTGGTTGTATCTACACAAAGCTGAGAAAACTGTAACAAACACAGATTGTAGAAGGAAAAATTAAACATTTCGAATCGTGCACTTCCCGAGAAGTTGAAGTGATGCCAAGGTTAAAATGTGAGTGTAAAGCTACAAAGTGTTGGCTTCTTTGGACGCACAATTATATGATCCATTCACAAATGAAGTGTCCAACTTACGGCAAAGCGGGAAGTTGACTCTGGGAAGATGTGGGGCCTTGGCTAACACAAACCTCATCAGCTCCACTACTACCTGCAAGCCTGGCCTGTCCTGTCCTGAGTGTCCAACGCGTGAAGACAACTACCATATCAATCAGACTGCAGCTCCTCTGCTTCAACAACATATTTTTTAGGCTGCCAATATAATGTTTGTACCATGAATGGTCTTTTGCAGTATGAAGCTAGAAGAAGAATATTTGGCCACAAAAGTCAGTCACAAAAGAGAGTAAATTGAACCAACAATTGTCCATAAGACCATAACTCGTTACACAACAATTCCACTAATGCCAATGGTGAATATACAACATTTGAAGAAATAGAACAATTGTGGAGTGTTAACAATTGTGGAGTGTTAGGTATTACTTAGTAACTATGGATGGTGAGATAAAGATCGATTCCCAAATATGAAATATGACCGCCTCGAAAAGCATTTTGCAAGAAAATGTGCCCTAAAATAGACTTTTGTGCTTCACCTTGTAATCTCCTTAAGAGAGAGATGACTGGGAAATGGAAATCTAATGATGGTGGGATTTATGCTAATGGGAATGTATAGCTAGTAGATGAATAATAAAGGAGCTTACAACCCACATCGCAAGGGTACACTATTGAAAAAACCCAGCCTTACTAGAATGGTGAGCGGGCGCAAGTTGGGGGAGCTCATGAAGACATAAAAGAAACTGCGCTTCCTGCAAGCTGTCCAAGAATATGTTAGGCATTTCCAGGACTTGTAAGTGGTGAAGAGGAGTAGGAAGCCTGGTGGGGATATTATCACTTGCAGCAAGGTACTAACAATTACAAAGCAACAACATAAATGAATGAGGCGAGAAACCAGGTAGACAAGGTTGAACAAGTCGAGTCGGGGGAAGCAAAGCTTACTTTCTCGAATTCGAGCCCAAGATTTAACTGCTGGAGTGCAAGGAGAAAAGCAAATACAGTGACCACATCCAGCCCCATAACATCCCCAACGGGGAAACAAGGGCTATGTTCATATTTATCAGTAGCTAAACAACACTTGCCTCCATGAATATCAAGAATTGTTACCACTGAAAGAAGTTGGATAAACTCAAAGACAATTGACATCCACTCACACTGAAGAGAAAGCACTTTAAGACGAGGAACAACAATCTCAAGTTTACCAACTGAGCCATAACTTAAAAAGACTCAATTCTTCAAGCAGCGGGCACATGGGATGATGGGAATGACATTCTCAAAGAAATCACCCAACAGCTACAAGAGTTCCCATTCAGGACGAGTAAGCCTGCTAAATCCCACAATCCAAATCGTTTCCAAATGCAAAACTTCTGGAAGGACGAGACTAAATTCCTGGACCCCTTAGCTGGAAAGGTGAAGAATCATTCCAATTGATATCAAGGAATGTCAAGCACGAACTCAGTTATCGGAACATCACAAACCATCAGAACTCTTGTGAATCTTCATCATTACCTCATTCACATTCGATCAGGGATGCGAGCAAAATCTCCATCGAAAACAAGTTGGAGAATGCTTCTCAAAAGATACCTCCACTTACTTGACAACGCAGCTGCTTTGATGGCATCTTTTACGGGTAAGAAGGCGAGAAACGCTGTGACACATCGGCCGGGAAGTTGCTGATTCTATCAGCATTCAGCTGCCGTCCCTCTCGGCTCTGCTCCATCCTGACTGAGTCTGTGTACTGAGTAGACTTGAATCACACATGGATAATCGTGGTCGATTCCTAAGTGAGAATAACGAATTCTAATTCTACACATACAGAGAGTTAGAAATGATGGCAGAACCCTAGCCCTTTTTCAGAAGGAGACTCGGAGAAATGACGGATGTGTGATACACTGATAGTCTGATACTGCTACAGCTACTAGGCACAAAACGACACACCTTTCCGCCTCTGTTTCCTACCTACGACGATTTGTGATGTCGTTTTGCTGCACCCAATGGATACAAAGATTTCCAAGTTCCAAGCTGTGCAGCCTGTGCTTAAGCTTCTTTCTTCTTCCCTTTTTTTCTTCTTCTTATCATTGCTCGGAACTTGCTCCCCTTCCATTCTCCTGGCTCACCCAGATGGTCTGCGGAGAAGTCCGGACGGCCGGCCAGGTCACCAAATGATTCGTTTGGCGGCTTAAAAGCTGAAGGTTTGGTTAGGGTTCGTTGATCTCGCCTTGAAGGTTCTGAGAAAAGTTACTCATACCAGTGACTCCTCGACGAGGTACTGTAATTTATCACTTTCTGCCATTCCGGAAGTTTGGAGCTTTTCCCACAGAATTAGTCTCCTTGTTGGTCAATGTCTATGTATAGATGCCTAGTTGTTGTACGTTAGGGTTTCTCTCGTTTCTATACATAACTGGTTGGACTTTGATTTTTGTTTCTGATTTGTGTGTAGTTATAATATGATCGAGAAGAGGAAGGTGCTGCTTGCAGAGTTTGAGGGTGATAGAATTAGTAACCTTCCCGCCCATCTAATACAACTAATTCTTACGTCCTTACCCATAAGAGAAGCAGGGAAAACTAGCATACTGTCAAGACAATGGAGGCACCATTGGAGAAACATCACCCGCCTTGTGTTTGATGATGACTTTTATGAACTGGAGGACTCAGATTCTGAATCGGAAGTGAATAGTCTAGTCATGAGAATTCAGCAAGCTCTGCAGGTTCATGATGGACCTATAAGCGAGTTTGTGCTTTCGATTTCTGGATTAACAGCCGCTGCTGATAATCTTCACTTGGTTTCTTACCTCTCCAACAAAGGCATCTCTGCACTCTCCCTTCTGTTCGATTTTGACCAGCACTCATACGGTGAAGAGATCAGCTCTTCTGTTTTTCTTGCTCGTAAATTGGATAGCCTGAAACTGCAGGCATGTAAATTAAAAGTACCAACTTGGTTTGTGGGATTTACCAGGCTGACTGTTCTTCAGTTAGAAATGGTATGTTTGCCCGATGATTTCTTTCAGAGTTTTCTTCTCGAGTGCCCGCTGCTTGAAGATTTGAGAGCTTCCTACGTTGTGGGTCCTAGTAAGCTTGAAATTGTAGGTCCACCACGTCTCAAAGTGTGCATCTTTAGGGCGTATCGTGTGCTAGAAACTATTAGCTTCAGTTCTACTCCGTTGCTTTCTTTGATTTCAATTCAAGCGGAGATGTATGTTCAGTATGTTTCCGATACAACTGCTGTAGATATAGTCTCTACATTTGTTTCCCTCCCAGCACTCCAGCAATTGAATCTAAGCTTTGAGTGCCTCCATGTAAGTTTGAGTTCATTTAAACATATTCTTTATGTGCCAAAATGCCTGGAACATCTGTTATGCTCAGTCTCGCGTGTTTGGTTTTGTCTTAGTTACTTGCTGCAGGTCCTGTTCCAGACAGGTTTCCTACGGCACTTCACCACTTGGAAGTTCTTGACATTGGCAATTGTTATGATGATCAGTGTTTGCTTGAGCTGGAGGTTCTCCTTTGTCTTATAAGGAGTTCCCCCAACTTGTATAAACTTACAATTCAGGTTGGAAACCTCTATAAATCCTTTCTTTTTCTTGATTATGTTAAGGCTTGGTGTTTCCTGCTTTGATCTCCATTTTGGGCTAAACGTGTTCCTTCATTAATACCATCTGCAGGACACTCGCATACTTGATGGTTTAAATGTTGAGAGAGAATTGACTCCCTTGACATCTGAATCAAATGGATATCCAGATCCTGAAGCTGAAGGTAGTTACTGTCAAAGTCTTACAGAAGTCCATGTCCGGAATGGTAAAGGCTCCCGGGATGAGCTAGACCTGTTGAGATTTCTGTTGGCCAACGCCCCGCGACTGAGTAGAATTGTCATTAAACCGGAGTATAAGTTGAGTTGGGGAAGTTGTGTAGACTTCTTGGAGAAGGTTAGACAATGTGAATGTGTCTCAAAAGAAGCTGAGATCATATATGTCAATATGTCTGATGTGATCCTCTTAAGTAGGAGATTGGCAACTTCTTAGCTTATATTATTCACGACCTTTTATCTCCCACAAAGCAATACTCTAACTTAGCAGTTTATCTTGATGGTTTGGAGCTGGGAATGGTGTAAGGACTTTCATATGGGTGTTTTTCTCTCTTAATTTACCTTTCTAATGTTACTCTATCTTCTCTCTAAGAGAGCCTCCATTTTCAAGCCTTCCATGGCTGCCGCCGGCTCCCTCTGGTGACCGGCGGCAACCCAAGCTTCTATTTTCGTTTGCTTTTCTTGCTTTCCATGTTCTCGTTTTTCTTGCCTTTGTTCTAGGCGTTTCACCTGCAAGTATTTCAATTTCTCCAGCCGTTTTGGCATTCCAGATCTAGGGTTTTCCAGGTTCAAGGCTTTGCTTGGTTGCGGGATACAGAGGTTGCAGCTTGTGAAGCTTGATTTTCTCTCTGTGATGGTTGGTCTTCCAGGTTGGCGGTATCATCTCCGAGGTGAAGCCATTCTCATCTTTCCCCCTCTAACTTCCCCAGGCTGTTGTTGGTGCTTGGATGGTTGTCGGATCGTGGAGGGGTGAGTCATCTACGGTTTCTATGGTGGAAGTCGGTTCCTTTGTGGCGGTAAGTGGCTCTCCTCAAACAGGGGGCACTTCTGCTGCAGACTCTGAAGGAAATCTTCAGGCATGATGACATCCTCAAGTTCAAGAAAGGCAAGCTTATGAGGTCCCACGTACGAAAGAAGATGGTATACTGAAACTGCAATTCTTCAGTTTCAGAACAGTCAGGTCATAGTAATAATACATAAGTCTTTGTAATAGCTACATAAGTCTTTGTAATAGTGAAAGATACAAATGAGCCTATATGATAGAGACACAAGTTATGAGGCTAACACACAATTTAGTAGTATAATATTACTACTGATCGTTTCAATCAAGAGGGTCATTTCTTTTTTACAATTAATGCAAATTTATAAAAAGAAAGACATACTTGTCAATCAACTGTACTTGCCATTATAGTTGATTGACATTTCTACAGGTCCAACCTTCCAATTAGATCCGGTTAGTAAAGATTTGTATTTCGATGGTAATAACGTGATGACCTGTTACAAGTGATATGTTCTGTCTTGTTGATTTTTTTTTTTTTTTTTTTTGAAAGAGATGTCTTATTGGTAATGACATGCTGAGGAGCATATTTCATGCACAACCTTTTGAGCATAACCATGCATACGCTGCTACATCACTTTTTATGTAAGACTTTTAATTTTTTTTAATAAATTTTAATGGTCTTTTTTCTTTCGTTTAAAGTCGTAATTTTTTTGTATAGATATTTCAAATTCATTGTGTTATTCAAAATGATATCTACTATTATATATTTTGGAGAGAAAAATATGAGACATTTATGCCTTAGTGCAGGGGCGGACCCAGGGCCATTTGCGGGTGTCTTGGGACACCACTAAAATTTGAAAAATCAATTATCCAATTCTCGGTAGTAATTTACGTATGGATAAAAAAGTTATAATCAATAGTCCGAGACACCCTGAAATTTGAAAAAATGTTTATACTACTTTCGTTTGTAGTTTGCATATGGGAGTATAAGTGGTAGTTTGAGTAATTCAAACCTGAGAGACTACTATTATTAATAAATATAATTTTCATTAGACTACAACTTTTTTGTTGTTCTATTCTAAAGACTGTGTAATAGCAAATCCCTATTCTCTATCTTTAATTATTTTCAAAACCTAACAATTAAGCTAATTACAAGCTACCCTGAATTTGTATTGATTTTATAGTTGTATGACAAGTGTTGAAAGTGTCTTTTCAGTTTTGAGTTATATCAAGAACAAATTTAGAAGTCATATATCCATTAGTTCTTGAATGATTGTCTAGTAGAATATACAGAGAGTCACAGACAAATTTGTTGAGCAGTGTAGACACCAAGTGTATTTTATAATTTTTTTCAAAATATGAAAATATATCATGGATTTTTTAACTTGTACGAATTGGATATTTTCTTATATAAAAATTAATTTTTATTATTAATTATTATTATTATTTTATTTTTTAAAAGGAGACACTCATTAATAAAATTCATGGGTCCACCACTATCTTAGTGGTAATGCTTGATGTTACAAAAGCTCATAACAGAGCTAATCCTGTCACGAGTTGACTCGCACAGCTCCATTGTAAGAACCCTGTCACGAGTTGGCTTTATAGTATACTAGCTGTTGAGGGAAGTCTTTTCTCTCCCTCTCAATCTGAAAGAGAAATTACAGAATGAGAATTTGATGAAGGCACGACTCAAGAATTTTAGTGTAGTCTCTACTCACGAGTGTTCTCCCCCCAAGTTCAGATAATCAGATGTTTATAAATGGAGACGTAAACTGCTAATCGATTAACCTCCCAAAACCACGAACCAGTTCATATATACACAGTCATGGACAACACGAGCGAGCTCCTCCAAGCCCAGAGCCACATATGGCACCACGCCTTCAACTTCGTGACCTCCATGTCCCTAAAATGCGCCGTCCAGCTGGGCCTACCCGAAGCCGTCCAGGCCCACAGCGGGCCCATCTCCCTCCCGGAGCTCATCTCCGCCTTGTCCCTCCCTCCCGCAAAAGCTCCATACCTCCACCGCCTGCTCCGCCTCGTGGCCCACTCCGGCTTCCTCTCCCTCAACAACAAGCTAAACGACGTCGAACGGTACTCGCTCACTCCCGCCGGCCGCCTACTTCTGCGGGACAACCCCCACAACGCCGGCTCGCTCCTTCTCGCGGTCCTGGACCCGGTCCTCACCGAGCCGTTCCACCGTATGAGCGCGTGGTTTCGGAGCGAGAATGATGATGACGGTACGACGCCGTTTTCCGCGACCCACGGCGGCAAGATGGTGTGGGAGTATATGGCGATGGAGCCGGAGTTTGCTACTCTTTTCAACGACGCCATGGCGAGGGACAGCTGCTTGATTGCGGAGGTGGTGGCGAAGGAAGGTAGAGCGGCGTTTCAAGGGGTCGGGTCCCTCGTCGACGTGGCTGGTGGGACCGGAAACATGGCCAAGGCTTTGGCTAAGGCTTTCCCGGGGATGACTTGTACCGTGCTGGATCTGCCACACGTCGTCTCGGGGCTCGAAGACGGCGGTGACAACGTGAAGTATGTTGCCGGCGATATGTTTGAGTCCATCCCCGCTGCCGATGCCGTATTGCTTAAGGTGCTTAACGTTATAAACCAGTTGGCAGTTCCAATAATTCGAGTACAAACGTATCGTCATACCTTATGTTTCAATCAACTTGTCAATATTGGAAATCGTGGAGATTCGAACACGCGACTACCTGTCCAAACTAGGCTCTGATTATTATATTATGAATAAGTTAGTTCTAATAACTCGAATTGTCGGGAGAAAGTTATGCTGGATTATCCTTTTTACCACTCTCTAAGAGTTGACCTAATTATAGTATATTGCTTCTATAAAATTATGATCGGAGAATTAACATTGTTCTTTGGATGTTTGTGAACATACATGAAACAAAATACAGTGGATTATGCACGATTGGAGCGACGAGAAATGCGTGAAAATTCTGAGCAAGTGCAGGACGGCGGTGACCGGCGAAGGGAAAGCTGCTGGGCAGGTGATAATCATAGACATGGTGCTTGGAAACCAGAGCTTGGATGAGAAGCTGCGGGGAGTACAGTATGCATTCGACATGGAAATGATGGTTTCGTTGACTGGCAAGGAGAGGACCGAGGAAGAGTTTGCGAAGCTCTTCTTTGATGCCGGATTCAGTAGCTACCATATCAACCCGATTCTTGGAACACGAGCTCTGATCCAGGTCTATCCTTGAGGAGGGGAAATAAAAGATGGTTATTCTAAACCTAGTGTTTATGTTGCCTCACCTAGAACTTTTAGTTTGGTTCAAGGATTAAGATCCGGACGCTAGCTCTCTCCATGTTAATTTCAGTATTTTATTGTCTTAAGTACACCAGATTAAAGCAAATCGAGATGGACTATATCCAAGGTTGTCAAAACCGGTCGGGTTTTGCTAGTACGTTGGTTTAGCAAGTGAAATGGTTCGACCGGTGGCACATAGCAGCTTGTGCCGGTTCATGTCGGTCAATATTACAAATAAAATTATAAATACTCATATTTAAACATGACATTTAATGTCAATAATTAAACATTTATACTTGAATCCAATAAATAACACTAATATTTAACTTTTATACTCATAAAATAAAGGATAAATATAATTTAATATCCAAACCTTTTCATTTTAAACAATATAATAGCCAAACCTTTTCGAAAACAATCTAATATCCAAATCGTCAACTTTTAGTCCGTTTGACCGTTAGTTAACACTTCAAAAAAGCTTTGTTTAAGGGAAATTGTCACAATACAACTTTGTTTTCTTGTTTTGCCATTGCAGATGACTAAATATTTAAATAATCTATACCATCATGGTGGAGTCATGGACTTCTCGGGTTTGGAACCACGATATGTTGGTGGTTTTTCAGAGAAGATATCGATGGATATTGATGAAGTGTCGTACTTCGAACTTTTTTGAAGTGTCAACTAACGGTCAAACGGACGGAAAGTTGACGATTTGGATATTAGATTGTTTTAAAAAAGGTTTGGCTATTATATTGTTTATAATGAAAGGTTTGCATATTAAATTGTATTTACCATAAAATAAATAATAAAATAATTTTTATTAATCAAATTCACTAAAATAAGGTCATTTTATTTAGAGTTTATATATCAATCATGTCGATTATATCGGTGATGTCACACCGGTTTTATGATTGGTACTGGTTGCACCAGGTTCAACCGGTGACACTCTGGCCTACGTGGCAACCATGGTCTATATCCGCTTTGATATACATCAATTCCAGGAAAATAAAAATCAAGCACATCACTGACTTGCTTACGTAGGAGATTGTGACGTATCAATTCATGATGGTACATGCTATACAGCTATGATATCAACTTTGCTACGTACTAACTACTAAGATACAACATTATAGCAAGCTATGATATATACAAACTTTGCTACGTACGGCTCTAGTATAGATGAAAGGAATGTGACAACAAGCAGGCCGGTCTTGAGAAAAATAAAAAATCCAATTTAGCCCCAACATATTTCAAAATGAATATCATTTCTATACAAACACAATAAATACAATTGGTTTGTCCGAAAAGCATCCAAATTCATAATTGAAAAAAATATAATTGACTAAAAAAATGTGTTTATTGGAAAAAAGAAAATGAGCACGAACACGTCACGTGGTGAGCTCTAGTAGAATACCAACCGCTAGAAATGTCCACCACTATTCATCACCCATCAGTGTATGATGATGACTAGGGGTGGGCATACGGTTCGATAAACGCGGAACGAACCAAATTTGCACCAGACCAAAATTATATTGTCCAGTTTGAAATTCAAAAGAGAAACAGGCATAAATTGGAAATTAGGTTCTTTCAATAGAACCGAGGTCCCTAATTTTTTTTTTTTAGATAAGGGTAACCGAGGTCCCTAATTTCAAAACGAAATATGTGGACTCAGCCCAATACTCAACCTAGTCCTCCAAACTCAAATGAACCCATCTCCCTAAGCCCAATCAAGGTGAGATCATCCATCTACCACAACCCCAAACCTAGAGGTGGCAAATGGATCGGATCCATGGATTGGTGGATTTATGGATCAAATTAAATGGATTGTATCAAATGGATTGGTGGATTCTTGGATTGGATCA